ACCGCGGTCTCTGATGCTTTTGCTAAGCTTGTTCTAAGTAGGTGCTTTAGACCACTGAGCCATCTCTCCAGCCCCTCATTCTGTCTTTAACACATTGCTTTGTCTTTGGTTTTGTGTTTAGAGACTATATAATTGCACTTTTGTTCACTCCCGGGGTCAGTTTCTACATTTATTTTATATGTTGAAAAACCTCAATGTTTATGTATTATCATAATAAGAGAAAACTTTGTTATGCAAATGCCATGAAAGGCCTCACTCAATGTGCATGACTAGTAAAAAGGAATATCTTTTAGTTTTTGAATGATCTTTTAAAAAATCACTGATTTTTATGTACAAATATTTAAAATTATCATGTCTTGAAAGTGACAAATGATGTCGTATATTTTTGGCAACATTTTTCTAGTGGAATAAAAATATTCTGGATGCATATGTAAGCTACTTGAAGTGTACATTTGTAAGTAAACTACAAAAATGATTTTTTCTTCTCTCTCATTTTTAAAAGTATACAAATACAGTTTTCTTTTGAGGTACAATATTTCTAATGAACCATAAGGCAAAGCCCCTCCCCAGCAGCCAGGCCCTCTCTGTCCTGCACCCCACGGACCCCCCCGCCCTGGGCGGTGCTGGAGGCCCCAGAGCTCACCCTGGGAGAGCAGAGCCTGCCCTTGTTGGCAGCAGTGCCCTGGGCCTGGGCAGCGCCTGCTGGAGCTGGGCTCGGTCAGGGCTGGCTGAGCAGGGGAAGGGGCTGCAGTGAAGCTGGGAGTGCGGGGAGGGTGGGAAGGGGCTGGTGGAGCAGGACGTTAGCAGCAGCCGCCCCTGGGGGCAGGCGGAGGCCTCACATGAGGGCACCTTAATGGTAGGGAGACTGCACACGAGGTCGGTGGCATCCCGGGTGGGAATCCAGGGCAGGTGGCCCTGTCCTTCTGCTGAAAACTGCATAGTGCTGAACAGATATTCCAAAATATTTTACAAATTATATGAAGACGAATGCTAGGAACGACTTACTTGGCCTTTCGAAACTTAATATTCTTTCCCTCCTCCCCCTTTTTTTTTTAGAGGAAAGCATGAGAAAATGTGGTAAGTTTAGTTTTCTTTCTTGTGTTAAATGGAAAATTCTGTGTCAAAAACAATTTATCTCTCTGTGTAGTGTTTTTCAAGATTCTGTTATTCTGCTTCAAACTTCAGAAAGCTAAACAAATATTTCGAAATATTTTACTAATCACATAGAGAAAATGGCTAGGAACAAGGTTCTCGGGGTTGCAAAAACTAATTTCGTTTGACTTTTTTTTTTTAATAGAGAGAGACGCTGAAGAACTTGGTAGGTTCTATAATCTTTCCTTTGCTAAATTATAAACTCAGTCTTTGTTTCCTCAAAATACTTATGTCTCTGTGATTGTAGACCAAAGAAAACTTTGTCTAAAACAGTTTCTGTACTTCTAACTCAAATTCTGTAAAGTTGAACAAATGTTCCCAAATATTTTGCAAATCTAGAAAAATAATAGGATTCATTTTTTAGAGTTTTAAAATTTAACACTCCTTTTCTATTTTTATTTTTTTAAGAAAGGGCTGCAGAAGACCTTGGTAAGTTCTGTTTTCTATCCTGTGCAAAATTGAAAGTTCAGTCTATGTGTCACCAAAATATTTATCTCTCTGTGCAATTCTTTGCAGAACAAAGAAAGCATTTCGTACAGCAGCGTAAGTACAGCCCGACCCCAGCGCCCACGCCCGCACCCTGCCCGCAGCAGCCCCCTGCCCACTCCCTCCTGACCCTTCTGTCTCCATCTGCTGCAGGTCTGAGGGAAGCTCGTTGGTTTGCAGGTAAGTGCGCAGGGAACAGCTTAAGGTAAGGTCGTGTTGTCCACCTCAGCTCTGTGAGAGTCCAGCGTGGAAGCAAAGCTTGTGCCCACTGATCCCTAAGACGTGTGTGTCTAGGAAGCGGCATGAGCTGAACATGGCCTGAAGCCTGGAGGTGTCTCAATAAACCTCCTCAGGGCGACGCAGGGGCGCGTGCTCTGCTTCCATGTCACATGGACCTCGCAGGTCACCTTGGGAAGGACAGCCTCACCTTGGCCTCAGGGCCGGGGTGTCAGGTCCTGCCCGCGGTGCTGTGGGGTTCACTCCAGTGTCAGGCCCAGGGCAGGGTGGGAGCCAGGGGGACCCATCTCCATGTGGCCAAGCAGAGAGGGCAGCGGGCGCCCCGTCCTCCCCCAAGGGCCGTGCCGCCCACCCGGGGTCCCCAAGCCCACCTCCCCAGGAGCCCCGGGTGTGGCCGGGCCACGGAGGACTCCAGACCCGGGCTCAGCACCGCGCGGAGCGCAGGGCAGGAGCTCAGCCCAGAGCCAGCAGGGCTGCGCCAGGGGGAGCGGGAGGCTGCCCTCCCTGAGCAGGGCACCTCGCCCAGCACTCGGGACCGGGCAGGACTCGGGGTACGGAAAGGGTCCCCCCTCCTCCTCCCGCTCCTGCGGCCTCGGGCCCCCAGGTGGGCCAGGCTCTCTCTCCCCGTGCACATGGCGGCTCTTCTCCTGCAGAGGAAGTGGTCAGCAGGAAGCGGTGCTGGGCGGATTCTATCCCTGGACGTTACAGTCCTTCTCTCTGTCCTACAGGACGCCTTAATAAACAGCTGGGCATCCTCGTTCCCTCCAGCGTTCACCTCCTCACTCTCCTCCATTATGGCCTAAGGGAGGCCCAGCCCTAAACACGGCCCCGCTGACCCAGGTGGTCCTCCCCGGGCCCTGCTCCTCCCCGACTCCTTCTCTCTCTTCCTCCCTTCCCTGCCGTGGTTCTTCCCCTTGAGCACGCTCACCTCCTGCTCAGTGCTGCTGTCCCATTACACTCCTGGACCCCCATGTAGTTTTCCTCTCTGAGGGTGGACTCTGTGCCCCTGAGGGAGAACCTAGGAAGCCCCGTGAGCATCAGGCAGCTGGTAGCACCTTTCACAGGTGTGGGCCCCATGTCTGTATTCTCGCCAGCTGTGTCTTGGGAACCTCTGATGTGGCAGCACACGTCAAGTACAGAGTTTCGGTGGTGTGGAGAAATTTCTCTGAGAGGAGAGATCCCAACCCTGCAGCGGGGACGGTCACGGCCTGGGGCTGCAGAAAGACTCCTGGGCCTGCGCTGCGCCCCTCAGGCCTCTTCTATCAGCGCTCAGAGTCGGGGGCTCTGTGCTTAGGGCCTCAGGTAACGGGTCTCCTCCTCTTTTGCAGAAGACATAGTCCTGGATGAAGACACTGCTCACCCTAGGCTCTTGGTATCAAATGCTGGGAAATGCGTGGAAGGGTTGGCATGGACACAGGCTGTTGTTCCTCCAACCCCTGAAGGATTTACCTCACTCCTAGCTGTGCTGGGTCGGAACAGATTCTCCAGTGGAAGCCATTACTGGGAGGTGGCTGTAGGAGGGAATGAGTTGTGGACACTAGGACTATGTTCTGATTCAGTCAGCAGGAAAATACATTTCAAGGATATTAATACTGAGAATGGTTTTTGGAGCATTGAAAGGCATTTTAATAGTTACAGGGCTCTTTCTCAACCCCGTTATAATTTTCAGGTTGTAGCACCTCCCTTAGTATTGGGGATTTTCTTGCAATATGAGGAAGGATTGATCTCTTTCTATGATGTCAAGAACTTTACTCTACTCCATACTTTCTTAGGCAAATTCACTCAGCCCCTGAGGCCGTGCTTTATTCCTGGATATCCCATTGCAGGATCTGATCCTGTCCTTTTCCTCCTCCCAGTGCCACCACCAGATGAATCTGGGCCTCCCGAGAGCACACCTCTCATGGACCAGGACAGCACACACAGCGTCCCATCCGGGTTGCCCTAGGGCCGGCCTGGGGGCATCCACCTCCCATGGCACTGGGTGCTTCCCACGTGTGGAAAATTTAAGCATTATCCCTGCTGTTTGTCTGTTTCTATTGCTTACTCCTACATCCTAGCATCCCCTTAATACTCTTCCCTTTATCCCTGTTAGTTTTGAGGAATGCAGCTTCCTCCTGTTCTCCATTTTTTTGCATGGGGTCCTGAAAAGTGCTGGCTGCTGCCCTGCGCAGCTCACCACACCTCAGAGCACAGCAATAGTAATCTCACAGTTTACAAATAGTCTTGCGACTTGTAAATAAAATGTGTTTATGTGGTTGACCATGATTATGATAAACCAATTGTACGGGATCCCTTATGTGTGGGAGAGCAGCAAACTGATTAAAATTGAGTCTTAGCAACAAAACTCTTAGCAGTGACATTTATGTATGGCCAACATACATAGATTAATATTCCTTTTCAATTTTCTTATCCTGTTTGAAATTTTAAAATACTTCACTAGCCATGGTGATGTATATGCAATACGTGAATGATGACTTAATGAAGGTAGGTGTACGCGTTAGGAAAGGTTCACCACAGTCAGACTCAGAGCCGCCACTTCCTGTGTTGGTACTTATTGTCTAGAACATGTCCATCTTCCAATCCAAGTGCGTGCACCCTTGGCATGTGCTTTCCTGTTACCCTCCCCCGTCCACTTTCTGCTACTCGTGCTTTACTCTCTGCTTCTATGAACTTAAAACTATTATGTTTTTTAGATTTCATGTGCACATGGATTTCTTCAATAAATGGCAGGACAACTGCACCTCAGTTCAAGCCATCTCCTCTCCTTTGATGTAAAAGGCTGCATACACCAGGAGTACTGCGTGGCATCCAGGCCTCTGGGCTCTGGCATCCATCATATTCAACTATGCAAGTGTCACATGCCACCAGTGTTCAGCCAGGGAAAATTATAGACAATACTCAGGGAGGAGAGAAAAGAACTAAATCTCACACATTGATGGCGGGACTGAGAATGCCACAAACACCAGGAGAATGTTTTTAGCAGATTCTCATACATGTACAGTCATCCTATGACCTGCATCTCCATTTCTAGTTTTGTGCTGCAGAGAGATGGAAAATGAACAGAGAAACTACCAAAGAAAGTCCACATCAGCTTTTCTTGTACTTTCCTAAGCAATACACATGTACTTAGGTCTAATTAAGCAAATTTAAGAATAAACTTTACCACATTTATATAACATGCTATAAAGGTAAAACAGAACAACTGCTATTGCAGTCAGTAATGTAAATATTCTGGATGTGAAAGGCTTCATCCATTTACTTCCATGTGCCTGGAGCTCTTGACCAGATATTACTGGTTTATGCTTTCAAAATAAAGTCCAGATTATTTGTCTGGGGGATGGGTTGATTGACTGAGAGAAGACAGAGGAGGTTTCCTGGAGCGGCCAGAGTGCTCCGTTAGTTCAGTGTAAGGGTTTCCCAATGTGCACATGGGCACAGCGTATCTGACTGTAAGAGTAACGTAGATGAGACCTGCCTCCATCTCCCCTGAGGATCCTTAACTCTGTCCTTCGCACCCTGGTGACATTGTGCACAACACACTCACAGAGTAAGGCCTGTGGCTCACACAGCACAGCAGGTACAACAGTGCACTGAGGTCCCAGCCCACAGATCATCCTGCACTCGGTCACCTCCATCACTCAGCCCTTCCACAGGGCGTTAGGAGAGGATGCTCATGCAGCCCTGTGGGTGGTGACACTGACAGAGCCTGTGAGCTGCCAGGCATATGAATTCTCCTTGGTTTCACAGATGGGGAAATAAACAGTGTGAACCGTGTGAGCCAGGGCATGTCCACGCCGAGGCACTCCGGGCAATGCAGCCCTCTGCAGGCAGGATGTGTGGTCGTGGTGCCCAAGTACCTGGCTGGCCTGAATCCTGCAGCACAGCAGCCCTGGGCCTCAGAGAAGGCACAATATGTTCGGAACCTACTAAGGCTACTGAAAACAGTGCCTGTGTTTGCTAAATGAAGTTAGACATCCCTGCTCCGGGTCCCAGGCAGCGCTCTGCTGCACACCTAGATGCTTTCTAGAGCACCACGCACTGATCGGTGGCGTTTTGGAAGATGACTGCATTACAGAGATTTAGAACTGATTTGACATTAGGAGTTGGGACCTGCTCAGAAGAGGAGTGGCTTCTGGGTTTTGTCACCTAAATAGGACAAAGCAGCTGCCCTCTGCTATTCCCTTCTGTCACAGTGTCCTGCATTGGAGACGTTCAGCTATGGGCTGGAACCTCTGTAAACTGGGAGTGGAAATCAACCCTTTCTTCTTCATATTTGAGTGTTAGGTATTCTTCTCCAGCAACAGCTAAATTACTAAATCAGACTATGGTCCTGAGAGTGGGATTTTTGCTGCGACTACTATGTGAGCAAGTGTATCAGAAGCCAGTGGAACGAGTTCATGGGAGGACTTGGGAATGATTTGTGGACAACAGCTAGATAGCCTGAAAGCCACTTTGAGCAGAATAGATGCAAGATTTTTCAGAGCTTAGAATGCCAGAATGCTGACAAAAAGGACATAATGTGAAAACCAGGTTCAGATGGTTTTGTTGAGGAAAAAGGACTCCACTGTCTGTTGGATTTGGGGCCACGTGTTTTATACTCTGGCAGAAAACCTATCTGTCAGCACGATGGACCCAGTGTAGCACAGGCCACCGCTCCAGAAGGAACAGTGTACACAACTGTTGGCACCTTCAATAGCACACTACAGATGCCCAGAGCAGAAACACTGTGAGGGTGCTGCTATTTATGCTTTAATCTAAAAATTGCTTTAACCATGGAGCTCAGGTAAGCCCTGTCTTATGACTTTGGTCCCACGAGAGTCCCTCCTAGAGCAGCTTTCATAACTGTGGGCTTGGGGGCAGGAAGTAAAACCAAGCAAAGGCTGTCCCTGAAACCTCAGACTGGTAGAGCCAGCCATGGGCCAATAATTGCTCCCTACTCCTGC